CAACCAGCAAACAACCATCCAATTATAGCCGTTGAAACTGTCATTGAATCAATGTTGTTTTGTGGTTGAAATCTAATGAATGAAATGCCAAAGTCTGGTTAACGTTGAATCAATGTCAGCTGTTTTGCCACACCCCTTAACCCTCCTCATCGGAGCACTGCGTCAGAACATTTTATTACTGAGTGGAGGTTATCACGTTTTTAATTAAGCACTGTAAAGGATAGTGGGTTGTGATTCCTTTCTGTGCATTTTCTTACTTGATCATAAAAATTCTCATTGACTCTCTGTGTGATATGTTGACATGAAAACATCTCCAACTTACTACAAGGAGTGGAGCGGTCCACCCCTACCGTTTATATGAGTGGGATGGCCCAAACACACAGCCACTTTGCTGTTGGCTTGTTGGCAAACATTTTAATTAAACATTAAATTATGATCACAAAGGTTGAATATATGGTTGAGGTGGTCAACTGACAGTGGATCAACCTTCAAACAATCATCCAATTCCAGCCAAGTAACTAATATTGAAAATATGTCATTGAATCAATGTTTTCTGGTTGAACTCTATTGATTGAAATGCCAATGTAGACTCCCGGGTTTTTCAACACTGGTCCTCCAAGCACACTGCACTGCAAGTTTTAGGCATTTCCCTAATTCACCACACATGATTTTAATTGATGGGTGATTGACAGGGTTTTGCTGAACTGAAAACATGCTGGTCAGTTTGCCTTGAGGACCCGTGTCTAATTATTTTGAATTCAAGTATGCCCCCAGATAGCACAAAATGAGTGAAACATCATTGAAACAATGTCAGACAGACATTGAAGCAACATTGAAGCCTGGCATTGAAACAGAATCGAAAGTGGTTGGTGACTTGTACGTTGAATTAACATTGGGGTTTCAACCACACTGACACTATATCAAGGTTGATTCAACCATCATCTGTATATCAATTTACATGCATATTTGTGTTGATTTTACCTTGAATCAATGTAGGTGATTCAATGTAAAATTGGGTAGGTGGGTTGGAGGAGGTTTGGGGATGGATTAGGCGGAAATGAGGAGGTGAGGAGAGGTGCAACAAACTGCATAGTTGTATTCAAAATGATTAGACACTGGTCCACAAGGCAAGCTGACCTGCATGTTTTCAGTTCAGTAAAATCCTGTCAATCACCCATGAATTAATATCATCTACTGACATATTTTTAATATCCATTAATTGGCTAGAATTGGATGATTGTTGTCAGTTTATCCACCATCAGTCATCAACCTTAACCATAAATTCAACCTTTGTGATCATAATTCAACATTGAATTAATATCTTTTGCCAACAAGCCAATAGTGAAGTGGCTGTGTGGTTGGGCCATTCCACTCATAAAAATAGTGGGGGTGGACCGCTCCACTCATTGTAGTACGTTGTAGATGTTTTTGTGTCAATATTATTACACACAGTCAGTAAAGATTTTTA